TGTTCCTTATATTAATTTATATTGATGCAAACAACCACTTTCCCTGGACAAAAACTCATCAGGCTGCGATCCGAGGCATTGGTACTTCCTTACTTTTGTAAGGAAGCGAATGCAGGTTTCATCACTACTCAGCGGATTACACTTTAGAAAACAAATATTACACAAACAAAACCTAACTAAATAATAATAATTTCGTCACTCAATTCACAACTGTTTGTGGGACACAGCTGTGCGCAATTGGCTGCGGCGTTTCACCCATAAAATACAGTCAATTCATTTTACAGCATATTCTGTGAAGCGCTTTGAAGATGTGATGAAGATGTCTTGAAGACATGATAAGGTGCTATATCAAATGCAAGAATTATTATTTTTCACACACTGGGTTATTAGACCATGGAATGCTTTCCCATTACTTACTATTGAAGCTAAAGCCAAAATATTTGAAGGGGATTTGATAACTTCTCTCTAGTTTAATTTCCTGTAGATCAAAATGACCTTTGAACTGTTTGTTGTGACGATTGAGCGGGCTGTTATCCAAACTGAGTTGTTGTGTCGACACCTCATTAATTAAGCCTGAGGTAACGAGCATAGCCAGGACTGAATCTGTGCGAATTCCTCGAGTCTCTGTGCCAACCATCTGCAGCCTGTGCAAAGGTCGGGCTGTCACTGTGTACTGGAGGGAAGAAAGGGCCAATGTGATTCACAACACATCACCAGTCAGGCTAGAAACTGGAGAAACTGCTCGTTAGAAACTGGAGAAGGAAGAATTCAACTTGTTGCGCGAGTGTGTCTCAAACTGGGACTGACTCTTCTTGAGACTTGAAGTGTCACCGCTCTTCGATTCACTATAATTTTCTGCAACTGTGTGCAAAACACGTTTGGAGATCCAGTTAGCCCTTTGCGATAACGTTCCATCTTTTTATATTTCTGGGTACAGAGGTAAACTCTAGTCAACAGGAAGGATCCTCGCCCACAAAGTACACTCCTCCCGTAGTAACAAGCTGACTGACCGTTTCGCCCACAACATATACAGTCAATTCACTTTACAGTACACTTGTGGGCGAAACTTTACTGTGAAGCGCTTTAAGATGTCACAAAGACGTGATAAGGCGCTATATGAAATGCAAGGATTATTATTAAATAGTTAGGGTCTAATTTGCGGTAAATTCCGAAAGTTATAAGAAACCTTGTTGGAATTCTGGCGGCAAGACTCCTCCTGAAATAGAAGACTCCAGAGTGAGGTTTCCACATGTCGACACAGTGCGTTTCTGGTGAGCAGATTGAGTCGCCTTTTGCACAACTCGGATTCTTTGATCAGGAAACTCATTAAGAAATTCAACAAATTAGATCCCAAAAATTCAACAAATTAGATCCCAGAAATTCAACAAATTAGATCCCAAAAAATAATTTCACAGGAATCTCAACTCTTCCTATATTCACTGAGTTCCTGTAGAGTTTTTTTTTCTCTCAACAAAGCAAAGAATACAGAACTCTCTTTTCCCTTCCCGTGCCCACACACCCTCCCTTGAGTGAACTCTTTCAGGGCTTCCCCTTATCGTGCTATTTATTCCAAAAAGGTTCAATCTACAACAAATGTCTTCAGGCTCCCAGAGATCCAGGTCTTGGCTAAAGCCAAAGCAACGGCGACCTTTTTGTTCCGAGCTGATTGCTTTTATCCAGGATTTCCATTGAGAAAATTGGTCCAATAGTGTTGAAATAAGTACCTTGCTCCTGTGATTTGCAGCATCCTGTGACCGCCAGCAGTAGGAAAGCTTGTGGCCGCAACGGGACAGGAACACATGAATGTATTGGGTAATCTTGCTCATCAATAATAAAATAACAGCTATTAAAAATTGATTGAAATACTACTTTGTACTGTACAACTAGCCTGAGGAGGAATCTGTCATAATCTTTGATGTGGCAATTAACGCTGAGAATAAATTAGCTGCTGTGCCCAAACCAAGGGGGAGAAAACCTTCGACTTAAAACTGTGTTACTCCTCCGTTGGTGAGCAGTGTCAGGTATATTGAGGCAGCATCTGAATTGTTTTTGTATGAAGAGTTAGTCTGCAATGAACAGCGGCCAGATTTCCTGGGGCTACACCATGCCACAACTTTATCGAAGTCTGATCTCCCGCCGCCTCCACAGCAAGTGCCCGCCATTTCCATTGCCATCTCTTGGCCTCAGAGCATCGGGATTTCATTTTGTTCGTCCTGAGTGCTGTGCAGCGAAGCCCCAAACCTCTGTCTTGACATGAGACAAGATTGATGCAACTCTGTGTTGGGTGGGTGTTGATGCTCGCGGCGTGCCTGAGGCTTTGTTAGCCTTCTCTGAGACCCCAGGAGAACCTAGCATGTCGATTAGTGTGAGAAAACATGTATAAAATGTGGAAAGAACTGATCTCGCTGCTGCCCTCAGGCCAAAGGAAGTGTGCTGGGAGCCGACGCGGGGAACATTTAAGGCCTCAATCCCTACGTTTAACAGCTTTGAATACGAAAAATGGGAAAATAAACTCCCAATTCTGACCAATTGAGTTCCTGCCTCCAGTGTCTTTGTGCATCAGTTCCGCACAGACACTACTTTGCTTCTGTTTCACATGAAATCATAGAATTATACAGCACAGAAGGAGGCCATTCGGCCCATCGTGTCTGTACCGGCTCTTTGAAAAGAGATATCCAATTCAACCCCCCTCCCCCGCTCTCTCCCCATAGCCCTGCAAACTTCTACTACCCAAATAATTAGCTACTTCTCTCTGAGAAGTTGTTATTAAATCAGCTTCCACCACCTTTTCAGGCAATGCATTCCAGATCCTAATAACTCGCTGTGTGAAAAAGATGAGTTCTCTATCTTGGCCTGGCATGAATCATCAGCGGAAGGTGCTTCCCCTCATGGCAAAGATGACTGATGTGACAATTAAACTGAGCTGTTGCTGTACATATTCACCATTGGGTGTATATAAAGCCAGAGCCTGCGAGCAGGTTGCTTCCCTAACCTTTGGTGAGCAGTGTCAGGTGTATTGAGGCAGCATCTGAATTGTTTTTGTATGAAGAGTTAGTCTGTAATGAACAGCGGCCAGGTTTCCTGGGGCTACACCATGCCACAACTTTATCGAAGTCTGATCTCCCGCTGCCACCACAGCAAGTGCCCGCCATTTCCATTGCCATCTCTTGGCCTCAGAGCATCGGGATTTCATTTTGTTCGTCCTGGTTTGTGGTGTGGGCTGAGAGGATGACCAAAAATAAGGGTTTTCGCAAATTATGATTGACTCGTAAAAGGCCCCAGTTCATGGGTGTGTTTTCTGGTCGCTTGCGTTAGAACTACACTGTTGTACAATAAAGTGTTGAAAGCCAGGCTATAAATATCTTCTAGGAATGTGCTTTAAAGCTCCGAAAATTGGCAGCAGCTTTAAAGCTGTTATCAAAATGAAGGCATTTGGCAGCTTCAGTGTGTTTCTAAGCAACAGTAGTCTCCCAGTCTCTTCTGTACCATGCCATCAATAACACAAGGGAGGCACTTCATCCTCAGCACCATTGAATGTCTTTGCATCTCTCTAAACAGTCACTTTTGCTCTTGTAATCCTCTGCTTTGAACACAGTTGTAATCAGGGAAGCTGCTTGCTATAGTTATTGGCACAATACTTCTTGGGTTTCAGTGCAATCCAGTCATTTGGTGATTGCTTTGACAGTAAAGTTTACAGGACCAAAAAAAAGTTATGCTGTTTAATTTTGACTTAATTGAATTTTACAGCACTTAAGCTCTGGATTTGCCATTTCCTATCACTGTGTTTTGAGTATGAACGACTTGTTTCTGTCTTGGGCTCTATAATGGGAGGTGTAGGCGAGGAAAGCCAAGAGCGTTTCTTTAATTGAGCAATATCCTTCGCCTGATGGTGCCATTAACATAGCACTGAGATTCCGTTGAGTTTAGAAGGTTGAGGGGTGATCTAATTGAGGTTTTTAAATTAATGAAGGGATTTGATAGGATAGCTACAGAGAAACTATTTCCTCTGGTGGGGGAATCCAGAACAAGGGGGCATCATCTTAAAATTAGAGTCAGGCCATTTAGGAGTAAAATCAGGAGGCAGTTTTTCACCCAAAGGGTAGTGGAAATCTTGAACTCTCAACCCCAAAAGGCTGTGGATGCTGGATCCATTCACATTTTTCAAGACTGAGGAGGACAGATATTTGTTAGGTCAAAGTATCAAAGGAAATGGGGCAACGGCAGGTAATTGAAGTTCAGGTACAGATCATCCATCATCTTAGAGAATGGCGGGACAGGCGCGAGAGGCTGAATGGCATACACCTGTTCCTACGCTCCACTGGCGATGCTCTGTTTGATGAATCCAGATGCATCCAAATCCCCTCTCAAAAAACCCAACATTACAATCCAATTTCAGCCTCTCCCCCGCGGCGGACTTTAAACATATTAGGCGCTACGTGATAATGGGAATTCACATACAATCGTGCGATTCCATAAGCGTGCACGTTGAATCCAGAAAAACTAGATCAGGCAATGTTACAGTGCAGAATCAGGCCCATCAGCCCATCATACCTGCGCTGGTCTTTTCTCCACTAAATAACACTTGATGCTTTGGCACTTTTATTTGCAAGGGAAAGAAAATTCATAAAGAAATCGTGAAATGTGAAAACAGATGTCATGCTTCTCAACAACAACAACAACAACAAGATTCCATTTATAGAGCGCCTTTCACGTCAGGAGGACGTCCCAAGGCGCTGCACAGTTGGGTCATGACCCGAGCAGGGGGGAAATGGTCAGGGTGAGGGGAGGGAAGGGAGGGAGAGAGGAGGGGGGAAATGGTCAGGGTGAGGGGAGGGAAGGGAGGGAGCGAGGAGGAGGAAGAGAGTCGAGAGGGCTTTATGTCGTCCTCCTGACATGAAAGGTGCAATATAAATGGTCTTTATCGTGTGTGCTTATGTTTTGGATTCTTCGACTTCTAACGTGTGCCTTTGTAATCCTCCTCTCCTCCTGCTTATCTCTAGCCTCAGTCAACGTCCTAGTCCAGAATTGCAAGATCTACAACGATGCGAGCTGCGATATCTCAGCAGATGGGCAGCTCCTGGCGGCGTTCATTCCCAGCAGTCAGCGTGGATTTCCAGATGAAGGCATCCTAGCAGTGTATTCTCTGGCTCCACATAACCTGGGGGAGATGCTCTACACCAAGCGATTTGGTATGTTTGTCGCAGCGAATACAAAATGTTTTAAAATCTTTCTCACTTTTCAAATTTGGTACAGTTTCACACCCACACAATATATACACACACACACATTTATATATATTCACACTCACCTAAGCACATATAATATATATATATATATACACTCACCCGCGCGCACACTCTTACTTGGCAAGCGAATTGAAGGGAAACTTTTTGTAACCTTAGCAGTAATTTCTGAATGCTGCTAGTCAGAAATGTACCTCTGTAGCTACTACACTTTGTCTTTCAATAACAAGACCTTCAACATCCATATGGACAGTCAGGCAGGACCTCAGATTAACGTTTGCTGCGAAAGGCAGCACTTCTGACAATACAGCACTCCACTATGGGCTGCCCATTCCCAATAAGTGTTCTGTTTTTGCCTTGCCCTGCTGCCAGGGCGAAGCTTGCCTTAACAAGAAAGAATTTAAGCTTTAAAAAAAATAATAATGATAAATTGGTCACCAAATGCACGACTGTAGGACTGTCACGTTTCGCCACAAAATATACAGTCAATTCACTTTACAGTATATCCTGTGAAGCGCTTTGAGACGTCTCAAAGACGTGATAAGGCACTATATCAAATGCAAGGATTATTATTAAACTGACTTTGTGTCCCTTTGTCTGATGAATAGAGGCTGCTGAGAGGCCTCACTAGCTCTTTCCATCAGTAAATGCCTGACTTCCCCCAGAGACTGTGCAGCACAGTCCGCCATTTTTGTCCCAAAAAGTACAAGTCAGTCAGAAATCATGGTCTCCTAATGATGTTCACACTGCATCAGTACATGTAATTTGAAGAAGCATTTGCTGGCTAGCAGGCAGCCCATGGCAACCAGTGGCCAAGGACTACTGACAATGATTCCATTGCCCATCATGTATCAATCATGTATTATTCGCCTTGTGTAAATACGTCTGCACCCAGGGAATGACTTGTGTTCCTAATTACGCAATTAACAAGGGACTAAAATATTTCTTTTAGTTGATTGTTGGTTGCATAATTAAAGGCATATAAAATTCCCCCTTGGCTCATCTACGCTTATACCTGGCACATAACAGACCTCCTTCTCTCCACAGCAGTTAATGGCTTCGCTCAAGTGAGTGAGGGGAGGGAGGGAAAAACAGGGTTAATCATAGAATTATACAGCACAGAAGGAGGCCATTCGGCCCATCGTGTCTGTGTCGGCTCTTTGAAAAGAGCTATCAAATTCAATCCCACTCCCCCGCCCTCTCCCCATAGCCCTGCAAACTTGACCTCCCCATTATCTACTTCTCTCTGAAAAGTTCTTACCGAATCGGCTTCCACCATCCTTTCAGGCAGTGCCTTCCAGGTCAAGTCAGAACCAGCATTTCAGAGTGAAAGCGGAGGTTTGAAATCAAGCTTCTGATAATGCATTTTGCGTATTGGGTCTTGCACTAAATCCCAGTGTGCAAAATAATAATAATCCTTGCACTTGATACAGCACCTTATCATGTCTTCGAGTCATCTCAAAGCGCTTCACAGAATATACTGTAAAGTGAATTGACTGTATATTTTGTGGACGAAACTCAGCAGCCCATTGCACACAGCAGCGTCCCCACAAACAATCATGGATTGAGTGACCAATTTATTTATTAATAGCTGCGAAGGGGAAAATAAACCGATTGGAAAAAAATTATTCAAACTGTTATAAATGGTTATAAATCAGAACGAACACCTTAATAATAACCCTGTATATTCCTCAATATAAGCTTGAGATGCCACTTAACCATTGATGTTTCTGTACCACAAACGTAAGGCTGGCTTGTGAAGCCCAAATAAATTGCTTTCTGCTTTCTCAGGCACTTCTAATGAGTTGATAGACTATCTCCTCTGGTGCTACACGGACGACCTGAGCCCTTGCATTGTGGCTAATTTAACCTACATTTTACAGCCTAATTTGCTACGGGCAAACTTTAAAAACTCTGGAAACTAATGGATTTATGACTAAAAGCCTGATGTTAGATATTTTAAGCTTCTCAACATGCATTTACTGCTGAATGCATTTCCTTTCCCCTCGCCGGCGGAGTGGGCTGGGCAATCTGGCAGGTTCAGACACAACAGAGACGCTCCATAATTCGTGCTTGATGAAATAGTTCAATATTCGGGCAATAAAACGCAAGAAGGTTCAGGATTTTGCACACTGGTATTTAATTCTTTGTGGGCCGCGTTTCGCCCACAAAATATACAGTCAATTCACTTTACAGTATATTCTGTGAAGCACTTTGAGATGACTCAAAGACGTGATAAGGCGCTGTATCAAATGCAAGGATTATTATTATTTTGCACACTGGGATTTAGCAGGAGACCTATTATTAGTCAAAACGCAAGGTGCATTATCAGAAGCTTGACTTCAAACCTCCCCTTTTACTCTCAAATGCTGGTTCTGAGTTGACCTGTCGGGTTTGTTGCTAACAGGGCAACCCGTTTTATGCTTCTCGCCTATTTTGACAGAGGGTATCGTATATATCCCAGCGCCTTGGGACGTCCTCCCGACGTGAAAGGTGCTCTATAAATGGAATCTTGTTGTTGTTGTTGTATATCGAGCTCTGTCTGCAAAGTGACGAGCCTCACGGTCTGTTTGACCTACTTTGAGAGTTCTTCCCAAAGAAAGGCTTTTCGAATGGTTCCTTCGGGAGCCTTTAATTGCTTTGTTGTGACTTAACTGAGTGAGGCGGAAAAATAAATAGTATTTTATTTGAATCAATTTATTTCTGAGTATCATTTCATTCAGCGGGTAAATCAACAAAGCACAAAATCTACAGTCATTTCACTTTACAGTATATTCTGTGAAGCACTTGGAGACGTCTCGAAGATGTGATAAGGCACCATATCAAATGCGAAGATTATTATTATTGTCAAAGCAGGCCATTTGGCCAATCAAGTCCTGCTGTTGATTTTTTCCACAAGAATCACCTGATCGTATCCAGGTCCCCTGCTCACTCTTCATTCCCATTGATAGTCCTCTTTGAAGGGTTTCCATTGGAAATAATATATGGACACTGCTTCAACAAAGAATTCACATTCCTACCACCCGGAAGGGCGCTGGCGGGCGGCTGCTAGCGGGGGGCAGTGGGATGTGGTCTAACCTGCCTTAAATTTGTTCTTCAAGACGGGGACAAACACATTTATCCGTGGTTGTGCTCCGAGTCGCTACCCTGCATGAAGAGTGCTATATAAATGCAAATTATTGTTGTCGCTCACTGGCCCGCAGGCCATTCCTATCATAATCCCTCCCAATCGTATCTTGAAGATCAGGTCAACAACAACTTAGACTGATCTAGCGCCTTCCACGCAGGGTAGCTTCTCAGAGCGCTTTACAGTGGCAGAACCTGATTCCGAGCCGGGGGGAAGGGGGAGCTGGGCGTAAGGAAGTCGAAGAGGAAAGTTTTTAGGCCGACTTGAAAGATGGGAGAGAGGGGGCAAGGCAGAGGGATTGAGGGAGTGTGTTTCAGAATTTCAGGGCGTAGTGGATGAAAGCGCGACCTCCGATGATGGGGCGGAGGGTGCAAGGGATGAGTAGGAGGTCGGTGCCAGTCGAGTGGAGGTGCCGGGTGGTGGATTGGGGAGTGAGGAGGTCGGAGAGATCATGAGGTGCCAGGGAGCGAATGGATTTGAACATGAGAGAGTGAGGGAGGATCTTGAAGTCGATCCATTCGGTGATGGGGAGCCAGTGGACCCTGGGCCAGAACTAGTGAAATGCGGGTACGGAGTTTGGTCCGGGTCAGAGATTTGAATGGTGGAGCTGGGGAGGCGGGTGAGGAATGAGTTGGAGTAATCCAAGCGGGAGGTGACTAACACTTCTCACCTCAGGTGGGAAAAAGCTCCCCCCAACTTCTGGCATATCTTCCCATAATAATAATAATCCTTGCATTTGATATAATGCTTTGTCATGTCATCGAGACTTCTCAAAGCGCTTCATAGAATATACTGCAAAGCGAATTGATTGTATATTTTGTGGGCGAAACTCAGCAGCTTGTAGCATCTCAGGACATCTTCCGACTTGAAAGGCGCTATACAAATGTAAGTTGTTGTGTTAACACCCAGATAAATGTCTCCTGTCTTCCCCCATCCCCCCCACACACATGCACACACATGCATGCACACAAGTGAAAAACACACATATGTACACGCACACACATGCCAGAAGAGACCTTGGCAGTATGATAAGCAGTGAGGTTGAACCAGTTTTCTACTGCAGATTGCTCCTGCCTATGTTTATTTCAGCTGCCAGTATTACAGAGTATAAAAAGCTCCAGAAACTCGTATAAAATGTAGCTTAGCCAAACTAGGAGATGTTTACTCAAAACACAACCACCTTGACCAGCCACACTGAACTCTTTGTCTTTAAATCCTCTCCTCAGGCCCCAATGCCATCTCTGTCAGTCTGTCTCCCATGGGCAAGTACGTGATGGTTGGTCTTGCCTCCCGGCGTATCCTGCTGCACCCCTCTACTGAGCACATGGTGGCACAAGTCTTCCGCCTGCAACATCCCCATGCTGGAGAGACCTCGATGAGGGTGAGTGTCGTTCTGTCGCCTGCGCTATTATCTCTCGGGGGTACGTCTCGGGGGTAGTGCTTTATCTGTACGTTGTAGGGGATCTCCCTGGTTCTTAGCGAGGGGCCAGGGAACAGCCCATCCATTTGCTGGAAAGTCTTCGTGGTCTCGGGTGTTCTCTGCATATTTCATGCTCAGGCTTGTTGGCCGGCTCTGGCTCCCTCTGAGAGGGCTTGGCGTCATTGACCTTGGATAACTCCGAATGGATCTGTGAGTGTAGCCGCACACGGAGGCTTAAGGCCGCTGTTGCAGCAAATATTGTCACCACGACACTGCTCAGCGATCAAATCCATAATTCTGCACTTGAGCATCTCCTGATACTACAGGCAGTGACAGCATCGAGCTCTGCGAGGTCAAACAGCATGGGTTTGGAGGGAGCAGACAGGTCTATATGGAGTTATCAGGTCATAAAGGTAGGAAGGAGCAAGGCCGTGGAGGGCTTTGAAGGCAAGGACGAGGATTTTGAACTCTTATCCTCTGGGGAATGGGGAGCCAGTGGAGCCGGGCACAAGTGGGGGTGATAGGGACACAGAGCTTGATGCAGGCACACGAAAGGCACTGTGTAAATGTAAATTTTATTGTGATATGTATTCCCTGCATTGTCCAGAACTCTGGCAAGACCCTCACCAGGTAGCCTCTGTGCCATTTGCAGGGTTAGAAAGCAACAGCCCCTCTCGTGCCTTCACTCCTGTTAAGATTATGGCTTGCGGAGGACGCTCTGTTTCACATGAGGTTTGAACTAGTTTCTATCCAGTGTCATCATTGATTTAGTGGGTTTACAAAATTACCAGCAGCAACCTGTTTACCACCTTCAAAAGAAAGCAGATTTGATTGATTTAGGTTTCAAACACAGAGCCAGCTGATTTTCACCCTTTGAGATAACATCATTACCATTATAAAGTGAAGCTGTATGAATGCTTGTATGATGCTCCGTTAAGTAATAAACAAGATTTTGGATTAGGTGAAATTGATATTCAGAGCTGATGTCCAAGTTTGTGCAAACTAACATTTTTTCCCGGACCACTGTTCTTCGTTGCAGTTTTAGATTATTTCTCTCAGTCTTGCGTGCGCGCTCCCTCCCTCCCTCCCACCCTCCCTCCCTCCCTCCCATACTATCTAAATGATTAAAAATTCCTGTAGCAGAAAGCTTAAGTCAGACTAGAGGGAAGACTGGAATAATCAGGGAGACTGCAGTCAATGTTGTTTTCTGGTGCTTTGATTCACAAGAGCTTGGGAGGGGAGATGCCACGTATTGTTCAGTATTCCAGGAGTTACCAGATGTCTGATCGGGGTCTTACATTGAGATCTGAGAGGATTCAGGTCTCAGACTAAAATCCGAGTGTCTTTCTGTAGTATTCTACACACTTGACTATTTTAAACTCCAATTTAAAATATAGTTCAGTGCATTAATAATCTCTGTTTGGCTCAGACAAATGTGGAGCTGCTGGGAAAACACAGTTTTAAAAAAAAAGGCACTGGGGAATGAGTTTCTCTTTTACTGGCTTTGCAATTTCCTTATAATGTGGAATGAAATAAAATCTCATTGTCATATAAATTGCGTGGCACAACAGGATTTTACTACGACAAATTCAGTTTAACTCGTGAATTGACTGAATATGGAACCCTCTTGTAAAAGAGACTGAAGTGAAAATGGGAGCATGGGGTTAAAAGTATAAGAATCTAGTATGATCTAATACTAATGTGTTCCAACTGGCAGGCCAAGGGCCAGATGTTGCCCATGGGCCAATCTCATCCAACCCCCACCCCCTGCCACCCTAAAGTTCGTCCAGTCTACCGCTCCCTCCATAACCGGTAAATGTTACAGACGTCTCGAAAACATGATAAGGTGCAATTAATTAATAATAATTAATTATTTATTAATAATAAATGCAAAGATTATTATTATTCATTATATCGCCAGCATCATTATGCCTTATGCAGCCAAAATGGTTATTTGATGACAACTTTTAATTTTGCATTAGTGTAGATATGTCTTGTTGGATGGTTTGTAGTTTGAATTTTCATTTGGTTTAAATTTTTGAATAAGACCTTTTAAAAAAATTTCGCTTCACTGGCTCCTAAGATTTAATAATATATTTGTATTCTAACATGACTCCTTACAGGTTCAAACAGCTGTGGTCTGTGGAAGTTGGGCTACAAATAGTTACTACAGTTTAAAACTTGTGAAATGCTTTGAGATATCTGGAGGCTGTGATAAAATGGAACCTCAAATGCAAGGATTTATTATTTGTCCTCTATCATAATCCCTTCAAAAAATAAATAATAATTTGGTCACTCAATCCACGACTGTTTGTGGGACACTGCAGTGCGCAATTGGCTGCCACGTTTCGCCCACAAAACATATAGTCGCTACACTTTACAGTATGTCCTGTGAAGTGCTCTGAGATGTCTCGAAGATGTGATAAGGGGCTGTATCATGCAAGGATCATTGTTATGTTTCTGTAAGGAAAACACAAAAATATTGCTTATATCGTGCCCGCAGACTTTTTTAAAATAGGGGATCAAGCCCTCAGCAACCAAAAAATTGTAATGGAATGAGGGAGCAGACTTCATAGCCCAAACCTCCTACTACGGTTCCTATGTGTAGTTGCACTTGTAGATTTCGGTTAGGAGCCTTAGTTTGTATAACTTACCACAGAGTGAGCTTGACCGTGGCATGCGCTCTGTATTCTGGGTGAACATTTTTCAGAAATAAGCAAAGTGGTTTGACGTTCTGTCATTATTCTGCACTCAAGCTGCCAGATGAAACGTTTCTCTATTGCACGCCGTGTGTAAACCATGTGTAAATGCAAGTGTAGCAGGGGAATTGCAGGTACCCTTCGTTCAATAATTAACCAATGAAATGGATTGGTTAATTACATATCTGAAGGTAAAAAGATTCCCTCTCTCTACGATTCCCTCTCTCTACACATGAATTTACACATGGCACATATTTTGCTGTATTTACTTATAATTCGTACATGGAGTATAATCCATCTGTGTTTACGGATGGTCTTTTAAGCGATCCCCGTGCTATCTGATTGCGCAATCTGTTGCTTTGATATCCAGTTGGAAAAAATGTGACCCCTTCGGTTTAGTAGAGGGTTTGTTAGGACATGAAGCTGCCGGAGACCCAAACATTGGTTATTTCTTTTTGTCTTCAATCCCTGGAGCTTCAGCTCTTAATCCATCTCAGCGAAAGGAGATAATCAGCTTCCAGCATTCACACCAAAATTAACCCATGAATGTTTGAAGCTCTTAAAGCCTGTGCAAATTTTGTTTTGGATGTGTGCAGAATTTTCTACAGAATGTAGTCCTGTAGCTTAGTGGTTAGAGCACTCGCCTCACAAGCGAGAAGACCTGGGTTTGATTCCCAGGCAGGGCGAAATGTTGGACAAATTTTCTTACTCCACATGCCTCTATTCGCCTAGCAGTGAGTAGGAACCCCGTTGTTAGTCGATTGGCAGTTACTTTTCTGGAGGTAATAATTCCTTCAAAAAAAGTATATAATATGAAATAATAATAATTTTGTCACTTAATCCATGGCTATTTGTGGGACACTGCTGTGCGCAATCGGCTGCCACGTTTCACCCACAAAATATACAGTCAATTCACTTTACAGTATATTCTGTTAAGCGCTTTGAGACGTCTAGAAGATGTGATAAGGCGCCATATCTAATGGCAGGATTATTATTATTATCAGGCTCTGTGAGCCAATCATCCCATTCCTCGTTCTGCCCCATAGGCTCCCCATCCCCCAACACATCCAATTTAAGATCCTTGTCCTTGTGGTTAAATCCATCCACAGCGTTGCCCCATGCTTACCGCTGCTACCCTCTGTCCCAGTCATTCCTTTTGCTTCACTCCGTCCCTCCTCTCCTTTAAAACCTACCTAAGACCCATCATTTCGACTGTGCTATTGGTTACCTTCCTTTTCAGCTCTGCCCTCCCCCACAACAAAAAAAGCTTAGGCTCTCAATCAGCTATGAGAAGCACTTCACAACATCCTCTTGACGTGAAAGGCACTATATAAATGCAAAATATTGTTGTTTGAGCAAGTGTCTGATATGGGATATTTAAGCAGGTGCGATTGAGATGGGATTCTCGAATTAAAACTGTTGTCTGTTATTGTGCAGAAATGTTCAGACTGACAACAAAACAAACACTTGATTTAGTACTGAGAACAGACTGGTCACAAGGGCTTTGCTTTGGATAATGAGGGCCCTTTGGTCCATTGATCCCATTCCCCCGGTATACTCACCCAGCAATCTTCCCATCACATCAAGCTGTTAAAACCATTGATGCCGATAAATTTATTAAACTCGGGAAGTTTCAGAAAAAATTCCCAGATTTATCGTCTCGTTGTTGCACTGTGTGTCGGTGGAGAAACAAGTTTGCAACTGTTTAGGAACATAGGAACAGGAGAAGGCCATTCAGCCCCTTGAGCCTATTCTACCATTCTATAGGATCATGGCTGATCTGTACTTCAACTCCAATGACTCTCTGTTGCCCCATATGCCTTCATACACTTACCTAACAAATATCTATCCACCTCAGTCTTGAAAATGTGAATGGATCCAGCATGCACAGCCTTTTGGAAGAGAGTTCCAGATTCCCACTACCCTTTGGGTGAAAAACTGCCTCTTTATTTCACTGCTAAATGGCCTGGCTCTAATTTTAAGATTATGCCCCCTTATTCGGGATTCCCCCACCAGCGGATATAGTTTCCCTGTATCTACCCTCTCAAATCCCTTTAGTATTTAAAAAAAACACAATTAGATCACAATCGGGAATGCAGACCAAGTTTATACAACCTGTCCTCATAATTTAGCCCTTTAAGTTGCTTATTGAAACTTCCAAGAGACTGATTGAAGGGATCTGAACAAATCAGAAGTCTATATCATATAAATTTACCAGATTATAAACTAAAGTCTCATCTTCCTTTACTCCAGGCAAGAGTT